TACCCTTAAAGACAGTTCTTGACACGCACGTCATGTAAGCAGGCTTTACAATGCAAAATGTAACATATATACCAGTGATGATGCGTAATACCGTCGGGTGTCAGAACATGTGATTATCATAACGATTTCGTGGTTTAATCCGGCCACCCTATACAAGAGCCACGCGCTTTACTGCGTGGGTTCCCATAAGACCACCTAATGGGTGCATAGCAAATTAGAAAACATTTCACGCGCATAACTGCTCGTTGTTCAAAGCATGGTACTCATTACACAGAATGCAGCCGTATGCGAAAGCTTCACTGATACAAGCAGCTTTCAAGTTGATCGACTTCACTAGAGCAATCCCTAATTTAAACTCCTCGAATAACATCGTACAATAAAAAGTATGCACACAATGGTTGAAGTAGGCAATAGTGATAAGATACCACCACAGTCCCTATCGCGTGAAACTCTTAAAGGCGAATTTCATCACTTAATGACTGCGAGTTATAAAATGTAAGGACGTCTCAAACGATCTATAGACCACTACGTATGATCGTCTTTTTCAGAGTGGCAAAACCTAAACATAATGGAAGTGGTCACGCGTTTTTTTTTCTTTTTTTCAACTGTGTGGTGAACTCACCGGGTGAACATTATTTGCGTGTGGTGCAGGTTGAACCGCATCAGCTGACACTGGTATCGGCATGCCATTTATGTATACGCATGCAAGCTAGTACTTTAGTTGAATAAAGCCTCATACTGACGACACTTTCATGTCAAAGCTTTTTGTTTAAAGATACGTTGCTTGTTCAAAAGTGTGAAAAGGCAGGCTTGCTGCTATTTCATGACAGCTGGTTGAGCGGGAAGCAAACAGGATGCATTATAGTGGACACAAATTACGCTGACACAGTTTTTTCAGGCGACTGATGCATTTCCTGTGCCCCTCTTTTTTACCAGCCGTAAGAAGCAAGAAACGGAAAACATTACTTACCTGAACACTTCCTTTATACTGCCTCTTATGAGAACCGCCCTTAAACACTGGTCTGCAGTCATATGTGCACTATAGTTCTATGCTTATAGTGCAAAATGCAACACTTTATGTTCTTCTTTTTAAAAGTACTTGTGACCCACGAACGTTTCGCATGTTTGCAATGGTTTATTTTAGTGGCGAAGCTCCTTAGGGTCGAGCAATGTCCCGTGTCCGTCGGCATGACACGCTTGGCACATACCCGTTCTAAAGTGGGTATGTGCCACAGGGGATGCGAGATGGCGGTACTTGAAGTGTTCCCTTGATGGATGCACAGATGGACGGCCAGCCAGACTAGCAGACGGATGGACGAATGGACAGACGCGCGGACGGGTGGACAGACGGATGGGCGTACGCATGAACGGACGGACAGATAAGCACATGGACAGACGGATGGACGAAAGGATGGTCGCGCAGACGGACGGAAGCAAGAATGAACAGACGGACAGGCTGAAGGCTGCTTCGCCCCACTCATCATCATTCACTACGTGGATATGCTGTGATTTCTTTTCCAGTTTTTTGCTTGTGACGTTCTCAGTGATTTTGGGCTTTATTGTAACTATCAGAGATGTGCCCAATGCCTCCTATATAAACATAGTCTCTTTAACAAAAAATAAAAGATCGACAGTCACCATATTGGCTCTATGACAATGATGGTACATTTCGCAATCAACTGTTCAAATAAAACAACAATAATTTATATATGTCACAGTATACCCCAACTGATACTCAAAATGGTGAACACTGGCTTAGACGGATAGTAATAGAATAAAAAGACAGCAATTACAACCAAACGAGATGTTTTGGGAGGTTTCAAAGCAGAGAGCCAAAATAAAAGTCATGTGTATTTCTTTTATGATCTGCGGAAATAAATACCATCCTCCGCGGTGACTGACTGAGCGACAATATCGCACAATAAATATTGAGTACAACCGAGAGAATGGGCAGAGTGCGAGACACATTAAAATGCCGACGTTCCAGCTGCATCACATTCTGTGTATACCAGTGGTTGACAAATCCTAAAAGGCTCGCGGGAGCTGCTACTGTGCGCCTACACAAAAAACAAGTGGCCAAACCTGATCACTTTAGAGGCTGTCACAAGCCTGCTCTCATCAAGTTGTGCTTTGTAGAAGCACTTGTCAGTTTGCGTGAGGTCGCCGACAATTCGCTATTTTGAAGCCTTCCCGGCTTCGAGTTTGAAATAGATACGGCACAGTGAGTGACGAGAACTACACCGTGGGTGATACAGGCTGTTATCGCACCAGCGAAGACTTCTCGCATAGGCGCTCCACTTCATCTAGAGCGAAGGTGCGTGAAAGTTGTTGCCGAGATCGCCTGCTGTACAGGGCAGACAAGCACTCAGTGCTTCCGTGTCACCAGCGCAGAGGGAACGGGGCCCCGAGTTCCTGTGACGCTGACTCACGTCACCATGATGCCCTCAGCCGACAGGCTGGCGAAGCTGGCGCCCACTTTTTTCACCGCTTGAAAACAGAGTGAGGCGTGGGGCCGGCCGGGTAAATATAGACGCTGAAGGCGGCTCGGCGTCTTAAAAAGGACCAGCTGGGTGCCGACGAAACACGGGAAAAAGCAAGGCACGCATTGCGAGTTTTCGTTGATACTAAGACGCGCGGAGAGCAGCCAGCATGTCCAAGAACGCGCCAGCGATTGGCATTGACCTCGGCACCACGTACTCCTGCGTGGGCGTCTTCCAACATGGGCGAGTTGAAATCATAGCCAATGACCAAGGAAACCGCACGACACCCAGCTACGTAGCCTTTACGGACACCGAGCGGCTGATCGGAGACCCTGCCAAGGCGCAAGTGGCACTCAATCCCGAGAACACTGTGTTCGACGCCAAGCGGCTCATTGGCAGGAAGTACGATGACCCGAAAATTCAGCAGGACATCAATCACTGGCCTTTCAAGATCGTCAATCAGGGAGGCAAGCCCAACATATGCGTCGAGTTCAAAGGCGAGAAAAAGATCTTCAATGCCGAAGAAATCAGTGCCATGGTGTTGACCAAGATGAAGGAAACTGCGGAAGCCTACCTTGGGTGTCCGGTGAAAGACGCCGTCGTCACTGTGCCTGCTTACTTCAATGACTCGCAAAGACAAGCCACGAAGGATGCCGGCGCTATTGCCGGCTTGAACGTCTTGAGGATTATCAATGAACCAACGGCGGCTGCACTTGCATATGGACTGGACAAAAACCTGAAAGGTGAGAAGAACATTCTCATTTTTGATCTCGGAGGAGGAACTTTCGACGTGTCCATTTTGACAATCGATGAAGGATCCATGTTCGAAGTACGATCAACAGCGGGTGACACTCACCTTGGAGGTGAGGACTTTGACAACCGCCTCGTCAACTACTTTGTCGAGGAGTTTAAGCGGAAGCATAAGCGTGACCTCAAGACAAATGCACGCGCTATTCGGCGGCTGAGGACGGCGTGTGAACGCGCGAAGCGGACCTTGTCAAGTAGCAGCGAAGCAAGCATTGAGATCGACGCACTATTTGAAGGAATTGACTTTTACAGCAAAATAACAAGAGCCAGATTTGAGGAAATGTGCATGGATCTTTTCCGGAGCACTCTGGAACCTGTAGAAAAAGCGTTGCAAGACTCTAAGCTCAGTAAGTCGCAAATACACGAAATCGTGCTAGTTGGAGGCTCCACGCGCATTCCTCGAATACAAAAGCTTCTGAAAGATTTCTTCAATGGAAAGGACCTTGCCATGTCGATCAATCCTGACGAAGCCGTAGCTTACGGAGCTGCCATACAGGCTGCTATACTGACTGGAGACACGAGCGACATTATCAAGGATGTTCTGCTCGTGGATGTAGCGCCGCTATCACTGGGCATCGAAACGGCTGGTGGAGTCATGGCTAAGATCGTGGAGCGCAACAGCCGTATTCCTTGCAAGACGTCCAAGACATTTACGACCTACGCTGACAACCAGACAGGAGTCACCATTCAAGTTTTTGAGGGAGAAAGAGCCATGACTAAGGACAATCACCTTCTGGGCACCTTCGATCTCATGGGCATTCCTCCGGCCCCACGGGGAGTTCCCCAGATCCAGGTGACTTTTGACTTGGACGCGAACGGAATTCTTCAGGTGTCGGCTAAAGACGAGAGTACGGGCCGCTCCGAGAGCATTCGAATCACAAACGACAAAGGACGACTCTCCAAGGACGAGATCGACCGCATGCTTGCCGACGCCGAGAAGTACCGACAGGAAGACGAAAAGCAGCGCGAAAGGGTGGCCGCACGCAATAACCTCGAATCGTACGTGTACAACGTCAAGCAGTCGGTCGAAATGGTGGGTCCAGAGAAGCTGGACGCGGCCGACAAGCAAAAGGTTCTGAGCAAGTGCGAAGAGGTCATCAACTGGATCGACAGGAACACTCTGGCCGAGAAGGACGAGTACGATGACAAGATGAAGGATATGCAGCAGGTGTGCACGCCTATCATGACCAAGCTGCACCAGGGTGGTGGCCAGGCACCTCCCAACCAGGGAGGTGCTGCTGGCCCCAAGATCGACGAGGTGGACTGAATAGCGGTGGTTGTGCTCATTTCGCTTCACCGTCCATTTTTTTTACCATCTGAATTGTTGTCCGCTCAAGAGAGGAGAATGAGAGCTACGTAACTGACGAATGAATCCCCCCTTTGGAGTATACTCTCTGCCCACGAAATCAGTGTTGCATCAAGTTATCCTTGCTTCCGTGAAGTCAGGGGCACTACTGCGCGCGTGGCGGTCATTAAACGCGTATTTAGAGTGAGCATGCTCAGGCGTGCATTCACAAATATCGAAAGTAGGAGGTTTGACAGCCGAAGCGTTTCAAATAGTGCGTTGGATCTAGCTGTCAAAAATTTTGATTAATATTTATGGACTTTGAGTAAAACTGTGCTTCTCGGAAAAAGGCGCCTTTGCTGTGCGTTTTATATTAAACGACAATGTCGCAATTTACAGAAAATTTGTGTCTCTGCACATTACCCAATGCGCAAATATTTAGGTCATTACAGCTGCAACTTCTTAGCCAGTCTGCTTACGGTTAACCATTTATTATGAAAATTAGAAATTATGAATTTTAAAGGTGTGCTAGGATACGCCTTATACTCCATAACTTGCCCAACTGTGTTCTCGCTTGTGATGTGGTGAAGTGCTGACTAACAAAGTCTCTATTTCTCTGCATCAAAGCTCAGTTTTGCAGCCGTTAATATAGAACATGTCACTTTCTTACCCTGTCTTACTGTTTCTGGCTAGTACATATTTGAATACTTGTCAACAATGTAAGTGGCCCTGCACTATCTATCCCTGTTCTGCCATTATTTCTAGAAACGAGTAGGAAAACTGCGTAAGTGAGATCGTTTAGTATAGCAATGAAATAATTCTTGAGCGTTTATTTCACAAGCTTCCTAGAGAAGCTGTTTCCGAGAATATTATCGTTATGTACAACGTGTGAAGATAGATTGCAACATGAACTAGTTGAAATAGGAAAAATTCCGTTGTTGAAGTAAGACATTTTCGGTTTGGGGTTCTAATATTGGCTTACATGAGGCACCAATATGCAGACTCGTTCTCGAATCTCAACTTGAAACCTCTGCGGTGTGAATGGGTGTTTCACCCTTTTCACAAGCAACAGGTTTTGTGTATATTTTTCTCGGGGTTATTCGTGTTTTTGCTCATTCTGGTGTTATCTTTTACCATGTCTTATGGGAATATAAAAGTGAATTAGTTGCAGCAGCAGTGACTGGAATGTTGACAAAAGCACCAAACACTTGCTTATCCCCCCCCCCCCCCCCGCAAAAAAAAAGTCCTTGATATGCATAGAATGCAAAGCTGAGAGTTCTGCACTCCATTCTGTTATATCGTAATTTGATATTAATTAAAGTGATGAAAAATTACCCTGGTATCATAGAGTTTTGAGCTTAATCAGAATAGATCACGTCGTGCGTTCGCTGATATCTAGCAAAAAGTACAGTGGGGATGGAAAGAAACGCGAATAGTGTTTCCTCTACACTTTCTGCTGTTTCGCACTTATACCGATTGTAGCCTGGATGGCAATGAAAAACCGCCAGAGCCATCTATGATACAATCAAGATCCATTCTAGCACCTTTCTTTTGCCACCGATGCCCGATCATGATATAAAAATGCACGCCCCGCTGTTCGCATTTATTTCCGTACCCCCGTGTACTATTCCGATGTAAATGACAGCATTCCTTGCGCGTGAATTGCTGTGGATAAGTAACTTGTTGGCAGCTGCACACAGCTGACCATGTGCTACGATTTCGATTTTCCAGAGATATATAACTTAAATTTCATTGATCCTGAAGTCACTCTGAATTGCTGTGTTAAGTCATGTGCCACGAGTTACTTTTCTTGCGTGGAATTCGAAAGCGGAGTGTGGAACGCATTAACAGCCCTAAAAGGGCGCGACATAAGTGATGCATTCACGATATGTTTGTACGGTGTACTGATTGATATGTGGCGTTTAACGTTCCAGAACCACCTTATGATTATGAGAGACGCCGTAGTGGAGGGCTCCGGAAATTTCGACCACTTGGGGTTCTTTAACGTGCACCCAAATCTGAGCACACGGGTTGTACGGTGTACTCGGCTGCTGACACGCAGGTCTCAGGATCGAATCCTGGCTGTGGCGGCTGCATTTTCGATGGAGGTGGAAATGTTGTAGGTCCAATTGCTCAGATTTGAGTGCACGTTAAAGACCCCCCCACCCCCCCCATAGGTTGAAATATCTGGAGGCCTCCACTACAGCGTCTCTCATAATCATATGGTGGTTTTGGGACGTTAAACCCCATACATCAATTACATTATGTTTGTACGGTGCTTGCAGTATTAGCGTGTTCCACAATTCCGGTGGTTTATTTCTCCCATCTCACGTAGCAAGAACTATTGAGGGCGAAGTTACGCCTTACGCTACATTCCTGACATGATGCAATTATCAAACATGTGTGCGGCGGATGAGATACGCAGATGGGGGCGTTGCATCTTACTCTGCTATCCATCAGAACGGAGGTTATGAAGTAGGTCCTACAATACAACCATTTCTTTCCTGTAGCGTATTCTTTTCTTATCGTTTGCCCTCTACGGTATCAAAGTGAACGTGTTGCAATGGAGCTACCATTGGTGCGCTTAAATGAATGAGATAAGGATGTTCACTGACTGACCGACGCAAAGGGAAATGACGCAGTAATAACACACTCATATATATATATATATTAGGGATTAGGGAAAGAAGTGTAATACCAACGGGCTCGTTTTTCCGTGTTTTGACACAATATTAATGAAATCTAACAGACAATAATGCCAAGGAATGTATAGGGGAAGTTATTAAAACCAATGTAATGTAATTAAAGACAGAGAAAAGTGGGTGAAAAAAAAACTTGCCGTGAGCGGAAATCGAACCTACGACCTTCGAATAACGCGTTCAATGCTCTACCACTGAGCTATCACGATGACTATCCCCCCCCCCCCGCCACTTTATTGGGTTTATATGTAAATTTAAACGTGGGATTATATGGTGGTTTTGAGACGTTAAACCCCACATACCAATCAATCAATAAATCAATATATATATATATATATATATATATATATATATATATATATATATATATATATATATATATATATATATATATATATATAATGATTGATTGATTGGTATGTGGAGTTTAACATCTCAAAACCACCATATGATTATGAGAGACGCCGTAGTGGAGGGCTCCGGAAATTTCGACCACCTGGGGTTCTTTAACGTGCAATTGCAACGTGCACCCAATTCTGAGCACACGGGCCTACAACAATTTCCGCCTCCATCGGAAATGCAGCCGCCGCAGCCGGGACTCGATCACGCGACCGGCGGGTCAGCAGCCGAGTACCGTAGCCACTGGACCACGGCGGCGGGGCGATATATATATATATATATATATATATATATATATATATATATATATATATATATATATATATATATATATATATATATATATATATATATATATATATATATATATATATATATATATATATATATATATATATATATATATATATATATTTATAACAACGCTCCACAATTATATCACGAGACTGCCACACAACGCCTGTTCAAATGTGGTCTCGATACATCAAATGGAAACTACGAGAAGAAAAAAGCACAAGTACAGTCAGCACAAAGTGCTGCAGAAAGGTTTATCATTGACCTGCGACACAAAAGTGCAAAGATTGTAGTCCAGCTTACCCGCTATGACGTTCTGCGTCTTTGTTTTTATTTCCCGGCAGCTGTACTTGTCGGACGGCTGTTAAAAATACTGCACCTACAGTACGCTGACAATTGTCTGCGTGTTAACGAGCTCCATGTTGTCGAAAATGATTCGGGGCATCTATATATATTGCAAATTCCGGTGCCGCGCAGTTCCCAACCGGGTTAAAAAAAATCCACGTGGTGATGGAACTGCATTAGGAGGCCTGGGGTGCGGCCTCATCGATAACCACCGCCGGGAACGCACTCCCTCACCAGAGAAGGATTGGCCACCCTGGTGCAGTATCTGGCCACTACCTCCCACATGCATACGTCAAATAACTCACGGCCCCCAGTCCCCAGCAGCTGCGAAGCAACTGACCATGGCGGCGGTCAGATCTACAACGCAGCAGAGGGTGTTAGGAATCTCTGGATCCGGACAGGCCGCCATTGGAACCTGAACTTGGCAACGTTTAACGCTAGAACCTTATCTAGTGAGGGACGTCTAGCTGTACTATTCGAGGAGCTAGAGGATGTTAAATGGGATATAATAGGGCTCAGTAAAGTTAGGAGGACAGATGAGGCTTATACGGTGCTACAGAATGGGCACGTCCTTTGCTATGGGGGCTTGGCTGACGGAAGAGAACTGGGAGTGGGGTTCCTAATTTACGGAAACATAAGTGGCAACATAGAAGACTACTATAGCATTAATGAAAGGGTGGTAGATCGTAATTAAACTGAATAAAAGATACAAGATGAAGGTGGTACAGGCTTATGCGCCGACATCCAGCCATGATGGCGCTTCAGTTGAAAGCTTCTATGCAGACGTGGAATCGGCAATGAGTAAGGTAAAAAGACAGTATACTATACTGATGAGAGACTTTAATGCAAATGTAGGGAAGAAGCAGGCTGGAGAACAGGCAGTAGGAGATTATGGCATCGGTACTAGAAACGCCAAAGGAGAGCTACTAGTAGAATTCGCAGAACGCAATAATTTACAGATTTTGAGTACCTTCTACCGAAAACGAGGAAACCGCAAGTGGACATGGAGGAGCCTTAATGGCGAAAATAAGAACGAAATAATCTTTATAATGAGTGCACACCCAGGCATCGTGCAGGATGTGGAAGTGGTTAGCAAGGTACGATGCAGTGACCATAGAATGGTACGGTCCCGAATTCGCCTAGACTTGAAGAAGGAACGACAGAAACTGATACGCAAGAAGTCAATCAATGAGCTAGCACTGAGAGGGAAAGTAATCATGTGGGAGGTAGTGGCCAGATACTGCACCCAGGGTGGCCAATCCTTCTCTGGTGAGGGAGTGCGTTCTCGGCGGTGTTTGCCGGTGAGGCCGCACCCCAGGCCTCTTAATGCAGTTCCATCAACACGCGGATTTTTTTTTTTTTTTAATCCGGTTGGGAACTGCGCGGTACCGGGATTTGAACCACGGACCTCTTGCATGCGAGGCGGATGCTCTAACCACTACGCCATCGCCGCACTACCACCTACTACCACCCTGTTTACGAGGTGTCTCCTGGCGGGAAGAGTACCAGAGTCTTGGAAGAACGCTAACATCATCTTAATACATAAGAAAGGAGATGACAAGGACTTGAAGAATTACAGGCCGATCAGCTTGCTCTCTGTAGTATACAAGCTATTTACAAAGGTAATTGCTAACAGAGTAAAGAAAACATTAGAATTCAATCAACCAAAGGAACAAGCAGGATTTCGAACAGGCTACTCAACAATTGACCACATTCATACTATCAATCAGGTAATAGAGAAATGCTCAGAGTATAACCAACCACTATACATAGCCTTCATAGATTACGAGAAGGCGTTTGATTCAGTAGAAATATCAGCCGTCATGCAAACACTGCGGAATCAGGGCGTAGATGAAGTATATATAAACATTCTGGAAGAAATCTACAGGGGATCAACTGCTACCATAGTGCTTCATAGAGAAAGCAACAGAATACCAATCAAGAAGGGTGTAAGGCAGGGGGACACAATTTCCCCACTGCTGTTTACCGCGTGCTTACAGGAGGTTTTCAGAAGCCTAGAATGGGAACAGTTAGGGATAAGAGTCAATGGAGAATACCTTAGTAACCTGCGCTTCGCCGATGACATTGCATTGCTGAGTAACTCGGGGGACGAATTGCAACTCATGATTAAGGAGTTAGACAAGGAGAGCAGAAAAGTGGGTCTTAAAATTAATCTGCAGAAAACGAAAGTAATGTACAACAACCTCGGCAAAGAGCAGCGCTTCGAGATAGGTAATAGTGCACTTGAAGTTGTAAAAGACTATGTCTACTTAGGGCAGGTAATAACCGCAGAGCCGAACCACGAGATTGAAGTAACTAGAAGAATAAGAATGGGGTGGAGCACATTCGGCAAGCACTCTCAAATTATGACAGGTAGATTGCCACTATCCCTCAAGAGGAAGGTATATAACAGCTGTATCTTGCCGGTACTTAGCTACGGAGCAGAAACCTGGAGACTTACAAAGAGGGTTCAGCTTAAATTGAGGACGACGCAGCGAGCAATGGAAAGAAAAATGGTAGGTGTAACCTTAAGAGACAAGAAGAGAGCAGAGTGGATTAGGGAACAAACGGGGGTTAAGGATATCATAGCTGAAATCAAGAAG